AAAAAAAAAAAAAAAAAAATAGACTTCTGGTCCTTCCATCAGCCTGTCTCTATGACTGTTGGTGACGAGAATATTTTTTTCAATTTGTTTTCTGTACACGTGGCAGCCGACTAACACATCCAACTCAGTAGCCAGTCAAATTGATTGTTTTACCAATGGAAGGACTAAAAGTCAGGTTTTTTTGCAGTTACATAGTATTTTGTAAAATCAACACAACCAACGCTTTGCTTGCTCTTCCTAGTCGAACAATCGTAACATTGTGTATGTATGTTTTGATAAATATCGGATAATGCGAATTCGAACATAAACCTTTGCAACCAAACTTACCACGAAGTTCCCCTTCCGGGATACGGGGAATCGTATGGGACGACTGATCAAGTAATTGCCACCGTCAAGATCGACTCTGGCCCCACCGAGATTCACAATGCCGTCCGTCAATAACCCATTTCCGGTCCCGCCGAGTGCATCCGACACAGCTTTGAGGATTGCTTCTGTGCTGTCTTGTATACCGGTCGGGTCTGCACCGTACGATGTCACGTGGTACACAAACGGGGCAGCCGTTGACTGTAAATAGGATCATCATATCAGACATAATGAACATATATACACAAATGTTGTTAGAGTGAATTAATGATTTGTGTTTTATATTATAAGATTACTTTCTTACCGGTGATGTAACGTCTTTAAACGAGGCTTTAAGCGCTTGCATTCGGTGCAGATGAGCCCGGTGAGGCGATGTTGGCTCAGTTTTGTAACCGTAGACGACGAAGCTCGTTAGGATTAATGTCGATGCGGTGAAGACTGAAAGGGCTGCAGTTCTTGATATTTCCATCTTATTACTTTTGACTGTTAGATTGAGGGAGATTTGATTTGATAATTGATGTCTGATTTTATATGTACGTGAGAAAGAGAGAGATATATATAGAGAGATAATAAATAGACAGAGGAGGAGGAGGATGAGAAGGAGAAGAGAAAAAAACTGAATTTCACAAGTTTTGCTCGATCATGCGAATAACACCTGAATATTGTTGCAATAAGCTCTCTTTTGGTGTATGCTTATAATAATAGGCTTTGTCTATTTATAAAATTATTTGTGTTATAAAAAAAAAGGATCTTAATGTGATAGTGTGTGAATGGTATAATTTCCCTCGCAAGGAAAAGAAAGAAAGTGAAATGAAATTTATTTCCTTCAACAAACAACCTTTTTATCTGGATAAGTAAGGGTGTCACTTGTATATAAATAAATAATACATCTGCTTAAAACAAGATTCTTTTACTTAATTATAGTTAATTTTGAAAAAGACGCTGGTTAGTTGTTATGAGATTTTGAATTTATATTAAATTCATATTTATATAAAATAATTAAAGTTTTTATTTAAAAATAGAGGTAGATGTTGTAAAATGATGATTAGTTAAAATTATGTGATGGTTTAGTGATGTGAGATTTTGAATTTATATTAAATTAATATTTAAAATGAAATAATTAAGGTTTTTTTATGTAAAAGTATGAGATACAAGATGTGAAGTGATGATCAATTAGAATTATGTGAGTGGATGAGTAATGATTTAAAGTTGAAGTGACGTGTAAAATTGATTGATTAATATTTCTTTATTTATATTGATAATATTGAGTATGGTGAGACTCAATTATAAAAAAATTGAGCCCTTTTTTTAGTATGAATTGAGTTATTTTATATACAAATACACCTCAGATCAGGTATTTGTCGGTCTAACGAACCACCAAATATTTTAAACAAATGTATATATTTAATTTGTATTTAAGTCCATTGCAAATGGAGCTCGAATCGTCATTGTTGACAATTCTCCTGGCATGGTGTTAATAATAGACTAGATCAAAATGGTTCAATTAAATTCTAGTGCTTCTTCTATCTATTAGTGAAGTTTCTAAAAAAAAAATATATCAAACGACTCGCTATGGAAACAGACTCCTTGTATAATTACAAGGGTAAGGTCTGCGTACAACTGACCCTCCAGACCCCAACCTGTTGGGAATATACTCGGTGTTGTATATATTTTGTATTTGAAATGAAACATTTTTAAAAAATAAAGTATGAAGTAAAGTAACATATAGTATTAAAAAAGTGTGAGGTGTCTATTCGGCTAAGTTCAAAATAATCTTAATTAATAGTACAAGTAATATTTTGTTTTGAGATTTTGTTGTAACTTTGAAGTCGTCCTTTATGATGTTGCTTTGAGGCTTTTGATAGTCTGGAATGGACTTGTGTGTGGTTAAAGCAAATTAAGGCTGGATTAGTTGCTCCTAAATCCTAATGCACAATAATTTTAGTGGTTAGTACTGAAAAAGGACCAAATTTGATTAGAACGTGGCTTAATGCAAAGAAAAGCGGTTAAGGCAGCCTTGAAATTTCAGATACCAAGGATTGAAATTAATTAGGGCTGTAATTAAAATTAGCATGTGGACTTCAAAGGGTCTCCTGAAGAAAAAACAATGCATTTTCAATTAAATTGATTAAAGGGGGCTTTTTTTTTTTTTTTTTTTCTTTAAAGAAAGCCAAGAATAGGTCAAAAAAAATCAGAGGGTAGTTGTTCTTTTTTTTTCCTGAGGATTGAATTGATTAGTCAGACTCTTGGAAAAAAAATAATGAATGAATGAGATATCATATGGAGGTGGTGAGTAAATGCTGAATGGGGGTGCAATAACTTACTGTGTGCTTTAAAGTAGTTAAAAACTATCAACTACTGCCATTTTTCAAAAGTGAATAAATGAAAGCATTAAAGATTGGTTCCAAGATTCAAAAAAAGTAGTTAAAAGTATTTTTTTTTTTTTTTTTAGTTGGCCTATTAAGTTGACGGTCTAAATTAATCGTGGCCAAGTTAAATGACCAAAATTTAAAATTTTACTGTTAAGTCACCTATTATATAGCATGTCATGTTATGATGGCCAATTTTTAATCATGTCATGTGACTAGTCAATCTTAGGTGTATGTAATTAGATGTAACTTATAAGACCTTCTCCAACCGATATTCAAAACCCAAATTTTACAGTAAAAGTTCTCCAATAGAACTGAAAATCGGAACGCAAAATGAATTTTATGGGTTTCTCTCTCCTCTTTCAACGCAAAATTGCGTTCATACCCAAAAAATGGGTTTCAAGTATTAAAACAACAATTCACTCCCTTTTTATTTGAAAATTAGAATAATCAATACAATAACTAAATTATGGTTAGTAGTTACTAATTAATAATTTTATTTATAAAATAAAATAAATTTTGTAAATAACTATAATTTTGTTACCATTTCAACTTGTGTACAAGTTTTTTTTTTTTTAAAAAAAGCATATTAAAAATATTAGAAGTATTTTTGTTAAGATAAATATTCATTTTTTTTCTTACTTATGACAACAAAAAATAATATAAAAAATTATGAAAAATGTTTGTGTTAAAGACAAATATTCAATCCTTTTATTTTGCTTATGTCAATAAAAAAATATAAAAAGCCATGAAATATATATAAAATTTTAGATATATATTGCGCATATCAAATTATGAGGTTAAAATATGTATAAAATTATATCTATAATATTCTTACGAAATTTGAATTAATTAATCGACTTGTTAGAAATGTTATCAAACTCAAACAATAGATTCCTTTTAAAATATTTTTTAAGTTGAAATTAAAAGATGTATATAATATTTGCTTATTTAATAAATATTTATTCCGATAAACACATTTATTATGCATGTATTTTTAATCTATAGATAGTTTATTTTGTATTTTTTCAATTGAATATAAAATAAAAATAGGTCTAATTTGCAAAATTGTTAAATACGTAGGTAGTATTGAAAAATTGTAAAAATTGATATGAAAGAGAATATTCTTTTGGATTTGAGAATGATTTTTCGGTTGGAGATGAATTACTAAAAAATGTGACAAATACTGTAAATGAGTTTGAGAATGAGTTTTTCGGTTGAAGATGGCCTAATTAGTGGATACATTTGTACGGATGGGCTGAATAAAATATTTTGTGGACTTACCTCATAATAAGCCCAGAGCCAACTACTTATGCTCACATTGGTCTCTACTTTATTGGGCCTACCTTTAAAATGTTTCAAGAAAAAAAAAAAAAGTGAATGAATAACTTCACGGCAGCTAAAAGAAAAAAGGGGACAAAAGATTGAATAATATAAATTACTACATTGGATGAGTGCAATTAAATATTGGTGAATAATTTAGTTGTATTAGAAAATAAATAATTTCAATCGCCTGATGAGTAGTAGCGTGGCATTATCTGATGATGACATGTTAATATGTTCCATTGATGGTCATGAAGAAACAGAGGCCCACCCCACGAATTGTAAAGAAACCAAGTGGCCAGAAAAAAAGGTTTTAAAACCTCGGACAACTAACAAACAGTCGCTATTTGTGAAGGAAAAAGCAAAAAATATATGCCCAAAATTTGAGAAATCAATGTCTTTTTATTAAAATTAATAATTTTTAATGACGAATTGGAAAGGACATGAATGGATACCTTTGTCATTTAACATTTTATGAAGAATGATAGTATGAGGTTGGAATTTATTATTCCAACAACATTATGTGAACATTGTTTTGTGAGATTAATAAGTCTGAGGTTGGAATTTATTTCATTTGGGTTTAAGAGTCTTATATAAGGAAATCCCTATAGCTTATTTTCCTTAGTTAACTATTGAATAAAATAAGACTTGATTAGTATTATTGGGAGAGTCTCGTTTATTCCTTTTCATTCGCACACTTCTCTACATCACTACATCAGAGAACGTGAGACTAGTTGGGCTGCATTAGCAACCAAATGTTAAATTAATTATGCCATTAAATTAAATTGAGGTGGGCTGACAATGATTCCCATAGTTTTAAATAAATTAAATTAATAATAATATATAAAGAAAACAGAAAACTACAGGAATTTTCATGTTGGACCCGGCGGCGGGCCAGAGTCGATCCTCATCAGCCCATCACTTTCCTCTTTCCACGAATCTGAATTAATTCATTTGCCATTTCTAGTTTTCTACTCATCATGAAGATATGAAAGATGTTAGATTTAGTAGAAAAAATCACCACATATTTGTTCTGTTCACAAATGAGATGCTATTAAATCTTTTATATGGAAGTGGTAGGCCAAATAAATCAGTTTTGCTATGAAGCCATCGGATGTCTTGGTTTATGGAGTCATCCATAATTATTTACAAATAGTGTATTGACACGTCTCCTACAATAAATACACTTTAGACAAGTGTCAATACATTAACTGATCGATGGCTCCATAGATTTTTTGCCAAGCAAATATACTTTTCATTACATTAAGGACTTCCAGATTTTGAATGTCATGTTATATTTATTTTGACTTTTTTGAAAATTTAAAAAATATTGAGGTATTTATCATTTGAATTTATTGAAATTTATAAGACAAATTGATATTTCAAGAACAAAATGCATGTCTAAAATTTCACACCACATTTCACCTCTTAGGTATAAGTTTCCAAAATTTTCAGTTAAATACAACTTTAAAAAAGTCTAATAAGACTATGATTGATAAACATAACTGATAAATTAGCTCAGTTAGCTTATAGATTTTAAGTGAATTTCAATTTTAGATCTGATAGTTTATGACTTATAGTTGAAAAACTAACTTATTGTGTTAAAATTAGCTGAATAAAAATTTCAACAAACTTATGAAAAGCTACCCAAGAAAGCTCACTTTTTTTGTTAAAATTAGCTGAATAAAAATTTCAATAAACTTATTTGAAAAGATATCCAAAAAAATCTTATTAGATAAATTCGAGCTTTTTAAAAACAATTGGTCCTACCCAATCATGTTTATTTGAATACAAAAAATTTATAAGTTAATAAAATAAGTATAAGCTAACCTACGTTTTATTCGTAACAAAATTTTAAAAGGTGATATGAGAACATGATTTGAAAGAAAAAAAAAAAAGAGTCATTCAATATGGATTATTATTGAAGAATATTCAATTTGGATTTTAAGTGAAATTTTATAACTTTTAAGATTTTAGACCTTTTAGAATTTTCCGACTTTGAAAGAATTCTATAAAATCTTAGGTGTGAAGGTAGGATTTGAAGTGGAATTTGATATAAGATTTTTTGTTTAGAAATTCCATTAAATCTTAAAAAGTCTTAATAGATCACAGTGTCAAATAAATTAAATATCTCAGATTTTGTAAGAATTTTTAAAATTCTAATTGAACACCCTAGAATTTTTAAAAATTTTAAAAAATCTTAACAAATTTAGGGGGTTGTATTCGTTTCAGAATTCGAGTGACATTTAAAGACTTTTTAAAATTTAAGATTTTTTAAGATTTTTAGTTTTTGAAGGAATGATGTGAAATACCAAGTCTAGATGTAAGATTTGTAGTGAGATTTCGTGTATGTTTTTTTCTTTAGAAATCCCAACAAATATTAAAAAGTCCTTACAAATCCGAGTATGAAATAATTTAAAATCCCAAGATTTTGTAAGACTTTTTAAAATCCTAATTGAATACCTCAAGACTTTTAAAAGTCTTGAGAAATCCAAATTAAATACACCAGGATTTCTAAAGTCCTAAAATTTTTTAAAAATAAATGCCAAATAAATACACCCCTTAAATTGAATAAATCGGGATTTCTAAAATTTTAAAAAATTCTTAGAAATCCTAATGGAATACAAATTTAAGGTAAAAAGAGTTCGAAAACAAGTGTTGCACTTGCACCTGCAACTTGGGGCGGAGAAGGGATACGGTGGGCCCAACAGTAGCCATACGGTCGCACAGTATCGCCAGCCACCCAATTTGCTGACCTCTCAAAGTGTACTCATTATAGTCTCCACATTCCGTGGGCAATTTTGCTGCTCTTCCCTTGCATCCATGATCCAACGAATCTCGGCAGCCAAATCAATGGCATCCCGCCAATGCAAAACACTGCCCCATATCAGCTCGCTCGTCCCTATTCCGATCATCGACGCGCGCGTCTTATCTTTCTTGTTTGTAGTCCCGCTTGTATTGGCCTCCATAAACGGGTTTTCCGGTAATTTCTCGTGCTTCTTTCTCGTGGGGCAGATGAAAGACGATGCCTTTTCTTTGACCTTTTTTGATCAAGAAGCGAGCAATTTTTGTTTCTTGAGATTGCTCTGTTAAATCACTCTGAATAATGAATGTCTTGTTGTTTCCCCTTTTGGTTGTATATGTTTTGTACTTAGAGATTCGCACCTCAAGGCAATCCGTGTTAAAAATTGAATCTTGGAGATAGTTATTCCTCTCTGTGGAGTTTTCAGGGTGATTGGCTTCATTTGGCCCCGAATATAGTTTTTCTTCCCTTCCTTATCGTTGGTGTTGACAAGCTTGAGGAAATCACAAATTTTATTGTTGTTATATTGTTGTTATTCTATCTGAAACCCAAACTCATTTGGATTGTTCAATATCTCGTCAACCTTCTAACTATTACGTATAAGATGCTGTTCAGTTGCATTTGCATGTTAAGCGCGTTTGTATAATTTTGTTTGATTAGTTTGATCTTCAGTCACGATTTCCTTTTTGTTTCATTTTATCCGATCTGTCAAAGAAAAAAAAAAAGTGTGTGTGAATGGCACTGACAATCCATTTGATATAACGAGCATGGTTTTTCGAAAAAGTCTTTGGCTAATATCAGGTTACATATTAAGTAAAATTGAGTTTTGAATTTTGTCATGGTGGTAAAGTTGCAATTGTTTGCATCTGTAATGAAAAGCAAGTTTTGTAATGTAATATGTTGGCTCATCATGCGTTGAAAATACAGATAAAGACTTCTTGCATCCAGAAATATTGAAGGATGAGGCAGTGGCAAGACTTGCAGAACTCGGGAAGGTACCCGTTGAACTTCACTTCTATACATAAGCAAAGTGAATACATAGACTCCGAGTTTGACAATAAGTTAAATTGATCAGTAAAAAAGTTATGTGATTGATCCTCATCCATATTGCATAAGATTAGATTAACTTATAACCTTAATACTTGAATAGTTGAATATGGGGTACAACCTCAAAATATCAAGTTATTTTGAAGCTAATTTGTGTTTAGTGATACAGGTGAGTGATTCGGCAGATTTTCTTATGAGAACTTTCCAGTCACCTGCTTCTGTGAGAGCTGGTAACCTTATCCGGGGATGGATGGAAGATGCAGGTTTACAAACGTAAGATGTCAAAAAATTACTAGTTCTGCCGTACCACATTCAAAATACACAGAGATTATTTTTCCTTTTTGTAGGTGGGTGGACCAAATGGGAAATGTGCATGGACGGCATGAAGGACTAAATCCAAACGAAAAAGCTCTGTTAATTGGCTCTCACTTGGTAAAGCTCATGTTCTCCAATTTTTTGCTGTAATTTATCCAGTTCCTGTAAAAGCTGACTCCATTAAACTGTAAAAAAATACTTATGGGTTGGTGCAATGTCTTAAGTAGGATACTGTTATTGATGCTGGAATGTTTGATGGAGCTCTCGGGATTATTAGTGCACTGTCTGCTTTGAAAGTGTTGAAGATGAAAGGAATGCTTGGGAAGCTTAGTCGACCAGTGGAGGTAGCAAAATTTACAAAAGCTCCAAATGTCAATTGCATTTTAGATGGATTTTTTTTAACCAAACATTGAGAATATTTGTTGGCCCTGCTCTACTAGAAGTGTTTTCCTAGGCAAATAAAACTTTGCTGAAAAGGGCAGGACGAATGGATCGAAATGGTTGAGAAAAATGTCTTTGGTGCCAAAGTCTTGATTCTTCTGGCCATTAATATTTTTTTCAGGTTATTGCTTTTAGTGATGAGGAGGGAGTTAGATTTCAGTCGACCTTCTTAGGAAGTGCAGCAATTGCTGGTGTATTGCCTGTTTCAACATTGCATGTTCACGATAAGAGGTTTACATAACTAACTGTAGAAGCTGAGTTCAAAATGTGATCTGAATTTTAACAGATTTGATATTTCCAGTGGTGTCACAGTGCAAGGCGCTTTAAGAAAGAACTCTATTGAAATTACAGAGGAGAATCTTTTGCAGCTCAAATATAATTCCAAATCTGTCTGGGGTTACATTGAGGTATGCTTCAATTTTAAGATTGACATTTGTTAAATACCAAAGGGTATTTGCTAAAGAAAAATTCTCTTGAATCCTACC